CGATGAATTCAATACAAAAGGAAGGGTCGTAAGTTTTGCGCGTGGAGGGTACTTCTCTTAGCCGTTGTTTGGTGTCTCTTATTTTTAAAATACATTTTTCTCTTTCTTATTTCAATCACACATTCTTCAAAAATAATATTATACACAAAACTTTTCATTATTTTTTAACTACACATTTTCTATCAAATCATTATTCCAAAATGTATTTTTGAAAAAAAAAAAAAATGGGGCTCAAACATGCTCTAATTTGTTTTTATTGAAGGGGCATATTTTGGCAAATCAAAAATAGAATAAGTTAAAATTATTTTTCAAAAACTGAAAAAAAAAAAATTCCTTAAAAAAAATGATGTAATCACCTTCTTCTTCCACCTCACCCCCACTCCACCATAGCCACCACCACACTTTGCCATCACGACATGCCACACCACCATCACCATCGAATGCGAGATTTGTCATTTTTGTGGAGATTTCCATTCCTTCGAACCCAACCATCCCTAATGTATCTTCTTCTTTTCCTAACTCGATGACTCTACACATTCTTCACTACGTTACAAAAATTCCCCTCACCGTCTTCATTTCTCTAATACTTCAATATGTATTCCACTTCGACTCTTCCTGGCACCAGAAACACTTAAATTTCTAGATCGACTTCTACTTGCTAAGTATTTTCAAGTGTTTAATAGTGGTTTCTGAAAGTGAATAATTATGTGAGATATGGTACTAGCACATTGGGCAATTATTTGACAAATAATTGCGAGAAATTTCCAAAAAGATTGATAGATAAGAAGCAAAAAATCCTTTTTTTTTTCTAGAACAAAAAAGAGGATGGTGGGAGCAATCTTATTGCTATTAGTCAAAGTAAAGAAGAGTATAGAATTGCATGTTCTAAGATGGTAGTATTGGATTAAAAAAACTATATAGGTTTCTTGAAGCTCGTGGTTTTAAGCTCTTTTGTAGTGTAACATGTCCTCAATTTCAGGCTCCATCTCAAAGGACTCTCGTTAGAGATATTTATCAATTGTATTTAGATGAAAAATCGAAATTGAGAGATGTCTTTTCTTTTCACCGTCAAAGGGTTTCCCTCACAACTGATACTTGGACTTCCATTCAAAATGTTAATTACGTGTCTCTTACAGTACATTTTATTGATTTTGATTGGACGTTTAATAAGCTTATTTTTGAGTTTTTGTGTTGTTTCAAATCACAAGAGAGAAACGATTGGGAAAATGATTGAGACTTATTTGCAAGATTGGGGAGTTGAGAAAGTTTTACAGTCATCGTTGATAATGCAAGCTCTAATGATGTGACTATTTCTTATCTTAGTAGGAAGCAAATTGTTTGGGGTAGTGATGGATGTGTTCAAGAGGGGGGCTATTTGAACTAGAGGTGTTGTGCACACATTATAAATTTGATTGTTTATGAAGGGTTGAGGAAAGCACATGATTCCATTGTGGATATCTGCAATGCAATCAAATGTGTTGAAATTTTCTCTTGTTAGGAAATGAAAAATTGAACGAGTGTGTGAGAAAAGAGAAGACTGATTGCAAGTCTATTGTATTTTTGGATGTTCCAACTAGCGGAAATTCTATCTATATGAAGTTGGAAACGACATTGAAATTTGAGAAAGCTTTCAATAGGTTAGAAGAGGATGTTCAATATTTA